CACACAGCTCGTTGTATCCCCCCTTCAGGGCCACAGCTGCCACTTCTGGAGCCATCCTGGGGGTAGAGACCCTCAGAGAGCCCGGGGTGACACAAGAAGGGGGAGGGGAGACTCCTGGTGTGGGGAGTTGGGGGAGGAAGAGAGCGAGAAGGAGAATGGGACACAGAGAGAGCCAGGTGCAGAGAGAATCATAAAGATGGAGAGAAAGACGGGAATAAAGATGAGAGACAGAGACAGATGGCAAAAGAGAGAGAGACAGACAGTGAGAGACATAGAAACAAAGAGACAGAGAAAGCCATACACTGAGACAGAGAAAAGAGAAATCGACAGATAGAGGGAGACAGATCAGAATAAAAATCAATACAAACCCAGAGAAACAGGTGGAGAGGCCCCAGGAGACCAAGGTAAATGGAAAACTCAAGAGAGAGCCAAAGGGAAGACAGAATGTTCAACAGAGCGAGGCAGAAGCAGAGAGAAGGAGCCAGAAGCAGACTCCCGGAGGTTGGTGTGGGAAAAGCCTCTGCCCTCCACCCCGTCCCTAGCTGCCCTCCAGGCACCCCTCACCAGTAAGGTGTCCCAATGAAGGAGAGGCGTCGAGCCAGTGTGGCCCCGATCTGGGCCGAGATACCAAAGTCAGCTGCAGGCAGAGGGAAAGACAGAGTGACCTGGGCTCCCCGTCCCCTGGGCCACCCGCCAGTCCACCTTCCCAACCCTCCCAGCCATACTCACCCAGCCTGACCTCCCCAGAGTCATTAATAAGGATGTTGGCTCCCTGTGGACAAGAGGGGGGATTAGAGGTTGTCACAGACCACGCCCTCCCCCAGCCCACCATTTGCCTCCATACCTCACAGCTCAATGCTACCCTAAGCCCTCCAAATACCACTCCCACCTCCTGGGCCCCCCACCCACCAAGGCCACCTTTCTGTCGCTAGACCACCTTAATGTCCCGGTGTATCTTCTTCTGTGAGTGCAGATAGGCCAGTCCCTGGAGAAGAGGAAGGGCATGGGGGCTGTGAGAGCCTGGGGGCTGGCAGGGCCCTGCCCCCACCCAGGCCCACCAGGCCTCCCCTCACCTGGAGTACTTCCCGGCAGACGTAGCTGATCTGGAGCTCTGACAGGGGCCCTGTCACTGCAAAGGTCACCCCAGGGCAGGGTTGGCTGGCAACCAGGAAACCTGGCCCCAGGAGCCCCTGGCCCCCACCCACACTGGCTGAGAGGGTGCCACGTGGGGAGGGGAGATACACGATGGGACAGGTGGGTGGGGAGGTAGAGGGGTAGTCATCAAAAGAGCAGGGAAGCAGAGGACAGAGGGAGACAGAGATTTATTCAACAGACATTTACTGTGTGTCTCCTGTGTGCCAGGCACGGTGGTAGACACTGGGGACACAGCTGTGGATGAGAGAGACAGATTCCTGCCCTTTGGAGAGAGCATTCCAGTGGGGGAGACCAGATAAACCAGATAAATAAGTAAAATACACAGTACGCGAGATACTCATAAGAAAAACCGATGTGTGGGAAGGCTGTGACATTTTACACAGTCTGGTCAGTGAAGCCTACTCTACGGAAGTGACAGGATGAAAATATGAGTGGTCCCACTCAGGGGGGACAAGATCCAGTGCAGAGGCCGGGAGGTAGGAGGGTGCCCAGTGGGTGGAGCGGGGAGTCAGGGACAGGAGACGAGGTCGTTCAGCTCGGGGTGTGGTGGTGGCCAGACTTGTGGGCCACAATGAGGAGCCTGGGCTTTTCTTTAGAGGGAAATAGAAGCCATGGGAGGGCTCTGAGCGGCGGGTGATGGGACTGCAAAATGAGGGAAGGCCGAGAGACACAGAGACAGAGAAGCAGGAACGAATCCAAACTGAGACAGAAAGAAGGAGGATGGTTAGACACCAAAATGTGGGAAGACCAACATACTGAGAAAGAGACAGAGAGAGCGGAGAGGGAACGACAGAGGGGGGCAAGAGACAGAGATGGTCAGAGAACAGGTCTGACAGTCTGGCTGTGTGAGTCACTTCCTTTCTGTTGGCCTCAGTTTCCCCCCTAAAGACTTTTTAATAAAGTCCTTCCTTTACTGACATTTGAGGTGTTGGGCTGGAAGGAGACAGGGCGATGGTCAAAGACATAGGTGGGCATCAGAAATCGAGAGGTGATCAGAGGCCACTCCACCTCCACCCTCAAATTCGCCAGGAGAGTGAAAAGTAGGCTGAGAGAGAGAATCCGGAATTCATTCACTCATTCAATGAAAATGTGGGCACCTACTATCAGCCGAAAATGCAGAAATACTCAAACACACGAATAGACGGTGAGAACATGCAGACACAGAGGAAGATGGGGAGGGGGAGGAGAGGGGATCATACTGTGCAGAAAGATTGGGGCTGGACTGTCGGGTCCTGGAAAGCAGGGCCCAGAAAAGGAGTTCATTGTGTGAAATATGGACCAGAAAAAAGGTCCCAGGAGACACAAACACAGCGACAGAGAGATGGAATGGAGGGACGGGGCTGCCTGGATGCCCTTGCCTTTCCCCTTACCTTGGTAGATGTCCTGGAGAGAACCAGCCCCACAGAATTCCATGCAGATCCAGAGCTTCTGCAGCCTACAGCAGTTCAAGAGTAGTAATAACAACAGCAATGATAATAGTGATAAGTTATCGTTGATAGGACAGTCTCTGGCTAACTGTCTTGTTCTGAACTTTAACAGCTGTCATCTCTCTAGCTCCCTTAGTCCACCAGAGTGAGATCGTCCCACTTCTGTTTTATAGAGAGGGAAGTTGAGGCTCAAAGAGGAAATGTTGTGTTCAGGATCAACTGGACTCGAACCCAGGTCTTTGGGCTCCTAACCCAGGGCATTCTCTGCTGTCTCATGCTAACCTAGAAAACAGGGCAGAGATCTCACAGGTTGCAGAGGTTTGGAGGAGACACAGAAGTACCAAGGTGCCAGGTCTGGGGGACAGAGTTCATTATTGGAGCATGTGGGATATTAAATTGGGGGTCAGGGAATTTAGAAGTTGATATTGAAAGAGGAGGGAAACCGGGGGACCCGAAGGACAGGATGATGAAAGATTAGTTTTAGGAGACTTAGTTTCAGAGTTAGTTACTATGAAGAGATCAATTTTGGGGACCCATGGTCAGAAATGGGACTCAGAATTGGACGTTAGATTAGGAGGTGTTTGGTCAGAAAAGTGAGACTTTGGACTAGGGATCGAGTTAGGACTGCCCCCGTTAGAATGGGAGTCCAGGATTAGAGGTCAGGTTAGTGAGGTGCCCTGGTTAGGCATGGAGGTTGTGCGGTAGGGGCTGGGCTGGGTCCCAGGCAGGTCTGAGGCTCATCACCAGAGATAACTCCCATGGTAGGCCACGATGTTGGCGTGCCGGCAAGTTTTCAAGATGAGGATTTCCTTCTGAAGTGTGGAAACGTCGTCGTCTGCGAGGAGGGGCAGAAGAGAAAAACCACTGCAGGGAGGGAGGATAGGGGCGATCCCAGAGTTCCAGGAGATGGGAGGGGTGGGGTGGGGAAGGAGCTCCTGGGTCCTCTCTCACCAGGCTCCATCTTCACCATCTTCAATGCCACCAGGTCCCCAGTCACCTTGTCTCGAGCCTTGGAAAGGGGAAGTTGACAGTCAGACAGTCTCCGTCCCCCTGAATTCCACCTCAGCATCGCTGAGCCAATGCCAGGGACTGGGACCCTCTCTCAACCCCTTCCCTTCTTGGGTCTCACCCCACAGGTCACTGGTTGAAGGGTGATGGAGGAGGGGGGTCCTCACCTTGAAGACTTCCCCATAGGTGCCGCCGCCAAGCCGCTGCAGCAGGTCGTAGTGGTCCCGGGGGTCCCTATTAAAGATGTCAGGGCCCACGAGGTCCATTCCTGGCAGCCGGAGCTGGGCCTGCGCCCAGGGGCCAGCAGGGCCTCAGGGCTCAAGTGCTGGCACCTCCCTCCCTCCCTCCCCACACGCCCTGCACCCGCCTTGCCTGCACAGGCTGTGGCCTCCCCCTTCCCCACTCTCGCTTCCTGCCCTAGCTGCAGGCTGTGCAGCCAGCTCCACCCCCTGTCCCCTGGGCCCTGAAAGCCTGTGAGGGGCAGCTTGCCTTGGGACCCAGGGGACCCCTTCCACCTTCAGAGCCCTGGGCTGAATATAAACCAGATGCAAACTATCTTAAGTGTGACCTGGTGGGCGCCTTAGCAGTCCCTCCCCCGTTCTGGGCGGTGGCTGAAAACCCCCTTCGAACCTCTGCTGAGTGCTCGAGTTTGGCCACAACCCAGAGATGGCAAGTCTGCACAGGGATGTTCATGCAGTGTACTTTACTGTTCGCCGGGCACATACATGCACTTAGTGATAATCCCGTGCGGGGCGCAGACCTGTCGACGTGCACATGCCTGGATATCCGTATGCACACGTGTGGATGTACCCAGAGCACGTGACACATACCTGTGCATTCACGCCCGTAGTGTGCAGAATCTGTGCCCACATAACTTAAGACAGCACACATGGGCGCTCCCCTTCACCCACAATACTGGAGTCTATGCGGGGACTGGGCGCAATCATGCAGAGTCCAGAACCCCCTAAAACTCCAGTCCTTGCTGGGCAGAGCACAATAGCTTGGCGGGCCCTCAGTCCTGGAGTTAGAGTGAAGCGTAGGGACGGTTTGGGACTTGGCGACTGCGGAGCTCAGGACCCCACCTCAGGGGTCCAGGCCTGGGGGAGAGGGGCCCTCGGAGAGCACCTGCCTCTGGACTTGGCCATGGCCCAGAGGGAAGACCACTACGTGCATCCCAACACAGTTTTGTGAGTTCACAGCTGCGTGCTCGCCGTCAGAGATCCGTTTCCTTCCCAAAGTTCGCGCGCAAGCCCGGGGAAGTAGAGCGCAAAGCCCGGGAAGAGCTTTGCCCCGCCTCCGCGCCCCGAGAGGGCGCGGGCGCACTGGGCCAGACGGAGCTTTTTCTCACGCTGCGGGTCCGGCTCGGGCGGGGCGTTTGCGCACGCGCCGACTGCGCCCTCTGGAGAGAAGTCACGTGGCAGCCAGAAAGCGTAGCCGCCGCAAAAGGGAGCTTTCTCCCCTACACCCGCCCCGGCGCTGGGGAGAAAACAGCGACGTAGTTTCCGTTTCCGCCGTCTTTTCCTCTTCCGGTCCTCGAGGACGCCGCGCCGGCTGGGACTTCGGCTCCAGCCCGGGTGTGGGGCGCGACGGCAGCTATGGCGATGTTTGAGCAGATGAGAGCGAACGTGGGCAAGTTGCTCAAGGGTATCGACAGGTCTGAGCCCGGTCGGTGGGAGCGCGTCTGGCCAGGCCGGGTGGAGGAAAGGATTTCTGGAGATGACAGGAGTGGTCAGGATCCTGGGTTTGCTCGGGGTGGGACTTCCCAGTCATCCTGGGGGAGATGTTTAAGTCAACAGCACTGCAAAAGCCTAGAGGCAGGAGATAGCCTTGCCTACCACTCAGCTCCTCTCTTCAGTGGCGTTAAGGCCTCTCTCAGCTCCTCAGTTTCCTCTCTGCTCCTCAGCCTCTCATTGTGCCTCTCAGTGCCTGTTCATCTTTCTCTTCTTTCCCCCTCGTCATTCATTCAACATACGTTCACTAAAGTCTTTCAGTGCTGAGCAATGCTGGGGACCAAGAGGTGACCAAGACAGCCGCAGACCATGCTTTCACGGAGTTCTCAGTTTAGAGTCCATACAAAACCGACAATAGACAGGGATAGCTGGGAGCAGTCAGAGCTATGATAGAGGAAGCACAGGCAGGTTGGTCAGGATTGGAATGGCGGAAGCTAGGGAGGCTAGGATGGGGCTAGACCAGGGTGGGGGCTTGGAGAGGGGAGGAAGGAGTGGATGGCAAAGATGTCCAGGAGGCCAGATATACAGGCTGCAATGACTGGTTGTCTGAGAGGTTGGGGAAGCATCCCAGGCTCTGAGGGAGTTTAGAGCTTAGACTCAGGTCTGGGATGTGGATAAGTTTCTTTAGAGTTTATAGAGCCGATTCAGGATTTAGGTAGAGCTAGTGGCCAGTGCCAGATATAAAGGGAAGAAAGGAAATGGGGAGTAGCAGGTTACTGTGCCCACCCCCAATAAAGTGGCTGGCCTCAGTCCGTCTCCTCTCAGCTCATCTATCTCGATTCTCCTCTAGGTATAATCCTGAGAATCTGGCCACCCTGGAGCGCTATGTGGAGACACAGGCCAAGGAGAATGCCTATGATCTGGAAGCCAACCTGGCTGTCCTGAAGCTGTGAGTGTTTGCCTCCAACTCCTCCCCCATGCCAGCAGCCAGCAGGGTACCACTCCCAACACTGGGTGGAGCGGGAGTTGGGTGCAGCCTGCAGGACGTAGCTTCTTTTGGTGTGCAAGACCAGGAAGCTAAGGAAGTTAGGGCAGGAGAAAGGATGGATTTTAAAAAAATAATGACAAAACAAATACAGGCTAGTACATAAAACAAATACAGCCAATCCTCCAAATCCATGGGTTCTGCATCCATGGATTCAACCCACCGAAGACTGAAAATATTCCTCCAAAAATATGATGTTGCTGATGTGTACTATGTAGGTTGGCCTACGATGGTTGCGTCTGTACTGAACACGTACAGATTCTTGTCATCATTCCCTAAACAATACAGTGTAACTACTCTTTACATAGTAGTTACATTATGTTGGGTATTTTAAGTAATCAAGAGATGGTTTAAAGTATATGAGAGGATGTGCTTAGGTTGTATGCAAATACTGTGCCATTTCATAAAAGGAACTTGGGCATCTGTGGATTTCAGTATACACAAGTGCTCCTGAAACCAATCTCTTGTGAATGCCAAGGGATTGTATATAGCTTAACAAGTAATTATAAATGAATGCCCCTGTGATCACCATTCCTATTGCAAAATTGAGTGTTGCTAGTGCCCCAGGCCCTTTGCCCCATGTTTTGTGCCAGCCACCCCCACCGCTCACCCTGGCAACCACTCTTATACTCTCATGGTCTGGCTTTATTTGACACATTCATCCTGATGAGCTTAGCTCAGGTTCGTCTGCTTCGAACTTGATACAAATGTAGTCCTACAGCGTGAGTTCTTCTGCATCTGGCATCTTCCACTCAGCACTGGGTTTGTGAGATCCACCCATTTCCCATGGGGCTGTGGTTCGCTTGTTGTCATTGCTGTATAGTGTTGCACTGTGTGACTGTGTCCTAATTATCCATGCTGTTGACGGATGCTTGGGTTCTTCCCCCTCGGTGCTTTGTTCACACACTACCAGCTGTGTAATTTTTATAGCTTGCAGAGCCTCAGTTTTGACATCTGGAAAATGGAGATAACAGCACTTGTATTTGTGGGGCTAGGTAGATGGTTATCGTGGTAACAGCCGCTTAGCGCTCACTCTGGTAGCTGCTATGCTCTACGCTTTGTATCTGTTAACTCAGATGCTCTCTTGCCCTTGCGAGGTAGATAAGGTTGTTATTGTCCCCTTTTGCAGGGGAGGAAACTGATGTACAGAGAATTTGTAATCAGTAGTCCAAGGTCACTCCGCAGAGAAGTTTAAACCCGAGCTGTCTGGCTCCAGAACCTTGACCATCGTTCCAGCCTGCTACTTATGTACGCGTTTGCGAGTCACTTAACAGTGTCTGCCTCGCTGGGTGGTTGTGAGGACTAACTGTCCCTGTCTACAGGGCAGGAAAATGGGGTCAGGGAGGGTAAGGTCACACAGCCAGAGAGTGTTGTACTTGAGATCGGAGCCCGGGCATGTCCAGCTCCTGGGCTCCAAGCCAAAGCAGTGTGCACCCTGCCTAGCACCTGGTGAGGCTCTGGGACCCGGAGATGCCACTCTTGCTGTGTTTTCGTTCTCCTTCCCAGGTACCAGTTCAACCCAGCCTTCTTTCAGACCACGGTCACCGCCCAGATCCTGCTAAAGGCCCTCACCAACCTTCCCCATACCGATTTCACGCTGTGCAAGTGCATGATCGACCAGGCACATGTATCCTTCCAGCTCCTGGGCCTGGGTGGATGCGGGAGGGGCGGCGCGGGGGAGTGTTCTGTGAGTTCAGCCACAAATCCTGAGTACCTGCCTGCTCCAGGGGTGGCCTGGTGCTGGGTGGGCCTGGGACTCTGGTGGCTGAGACCGGCTTGGCCCCTGCCCTCACAGAGCTCACAGTGCAGTGCAGGAAACAGGTCCCCTGTCAGTGACAGCTTGGAGTAGTCAGGGCATAGGGTTAGAGGGGCCAGAGGACGGGCCATCTGATAGATCAGTTAAGTGAAGCTATAGGTAAGACAGATCCAGGCAGAAGGAACAGTATGTAAGGAGGCCTGGAGGAAAAGCAGAGCTCATTGCCGTCTTTCAGAGGCCGTAGAAGAAGTTGGGCATAGTCATGCCACAGATTTCAAAGTGGATTTCAGACTCAGAAAAGGCATATTGGAAGGAATTAATGCTGCAGAGTGATAGGGGTGGATTTATGCTTTAGAAAGAATCCCATGAGCATATATATCCTCGGTGCCTGGCCCAGTACTGGCCTTTGGTGAGAAAATGTTAAATGAAAATTGGTGAACTGGGTCCCCCACCCCCCGCACACCCGACCCGCTTGCTTTGCCGCTGGTCCAACACTTGGCCAGATGAGCCTCCAGCTATTCTTCAGTCACTTGAGAAAGTTGGCAGAGTCCCCCACCCATGCTGGGCCCTGTGCTTGTAGCACTCACAGTCCCAGGGCTGTCACACCTACCTGCCCATTAGTGGCTAAGAAATGGCAGCTTACTCACTGAGCCTTCTCTGCCAGGTAGGTCCATGGGAATGCCTGCCTGAGAGATTGTTCACCTTCCCCAGGAGTCTCTTCTGGTGGCTTAGAAATATAGGCATGTGATACTAAAAGTACAAAAAAGTGTAGAGTAAAAAAATTAGGCTTTTTTTTTTTCCCCCTCCCTTGTCCCACAGCCACTCCACTTCCCTCCCAGGAGGCAGCAGTTGTTTACAGCTCTTGGGGACCTGTCCCCAGATCCTGCAGTTACATAGGTGTGTGTGTTAGGCGCACGGTTCTGCATCTTGCGTTTTTCACGTCACAGTGCGTCTCGTCACGTTCTCCCTATCAGTTCTCTACAAGTTGGCTCAATCTCTGTGGGTGGACCATGGATATAATTGTCCCCCTCAATGGATGATTAGGTTGTTCTGTCACCTTTTGCCATTACAACCCAGCTGCAGTGAACAGGAGGAGGTGGGCAGGAAGGGCTGGTCCAGGACTCAGCAGCAGCCTCCCGGGGCTCCGTGGCCATTTGCCCTTAACGCGGCCTCCTCCAGCAAGAAGAACGGCCCATCCGGCAGATTTTGTACCTCGGAGACCTGCTGGAGACGTGCCACTTCCAGGCCTTCTGGGTAACTTCCCTTGGGTCCAGGGGCGGAGTGGGTTCCTGGGCCACACGGTGGACTGCAGTAAGTAAGGCCCACGCACGCTGATTGATCATGCACGGCGATGGGCCCAGTGCTCAGGGCTTTGCGAGCGTGGTTGCATGGAATTGTCATCCTCATGTGGAGCCAGGGTTCCCAGGTAGTCCCCTGTGCCCACAGGGCTGGGGCTGACACGTTTTTCCAGCAAAGAACCTCCATGGCCTGAACATTCTCCCTGCCCTGCTCTTCCACTCCTGCAGCTTCCCAAGTGGGAACCGCTGCCCTAGACGTCTGTAGCAGTGATCGTTTCCTCCTCTGGCCATGAATGTCAGACGTTTCCACCCTCTGACCACTCCTAGCTTCCCAGCTCACCCCTTTGAGGTCTCCAAGCCGATATTCTCGGACTGACCAGCGCCCCCAGTCCTCTGTTCTGCTTCCTCCTTTAGCTTAAGCTGTGCATTCCCATCCCCCACCCCGCACCCCCACACACATATCCGAGAGGATCAGCGAGGCTGGAGAGAAGGCCGTCGAGGCTGTGACAGCCCAGGTCCATGGCCCTCGGCAACTCCCGGCCTAGTCTTTGCTTTCCTCCTCAGTGGGTCCCTCCCCGGCTCTGCTGGACAGCTGCACGCCTGCTCCCCCGCCCCCTTCTCACCTCAGCTTCTGGTCCAGCGTCCTGCTACGTAGGAAGATGGAAGCAGCCAGAGACCTCACACACGCCCCTGGCCGGCCCTGACGTCCATCACAGCCAAACGAGCACTTTTTGGTTTTAGTGGATGCACGTCCCTCTCATCTCAGGCCACCGCCCCCTACCCCTCTGGTGCACCGACCCCTTTCCCTTGTGCCTACTTAGTGGTGTCACAACAGCAGTTTTCCCCATTGTCTCATAACAGCAAATGTGGCCTTTCTTGGTTGTTTCTGTCACCATCGAACACGTCTCCCTTGCCGTTAGTTCTAGCCTGAAAAAGAGAGCGCTCACTGACCTCCACGTTTCCCCCGCAGTCCGCCTCCTGCCCCCTTCTCTGCTCCCCTTCAGCCTCTGGGGACCAGCTGTCCCAGTTTGCCCAGGTCTTTCCTGGTTTTAAAACTAGAAGTCCCACATTCCTGGAAACTCTTCAGTCTCAGGCGACTTGCGGCTGTCGGTCACCTGCTCCTGGGGCAGCTTGGCTGTGCTCGGTGTCCCTGGCTCCCCATGCTCACTCGAACCCACTTCACTCAGGCTTTTGTGACCAACCTTCTGCCTCACCCCCACCCCCCAGTTCCCAACATGAACGCTCCGTGACACTGCTGTTGTCCAGATCAGCAGACGCCTCCCTGATCCTGGGCCCAGTAGGTCGTTTTCAGGCCCCGTCTTATGTGTCCCGTCAGCCCCTTTGACAGGGCAGTCATCCACTGTTCCCTCAGACCGTTTCATCACTTGGCTCCAGGAGCATCCTGGCTTTCCTCCCACCTCACTGGCTGCTCCTCCTCATCCTGTGGCTTCCTCATGTCCCCCACTAATGTTGGCGGGAGCCCTTGCTGAGAAGGTGACATTTGAGCAGAGATCTGAAGGAAGTGAGGGTGCTAGCCACAGGGGAGAAGAGTTCCAGACACAAGAACAGGCAGTGCAGAGGCCCTGAGGTGGGCTGGTGCCTGGCGCGACTGAGGGAGTGAGGAGGCCCCGTGACTGGATTGGGGGTGAATGGGGGGAAGGGCACAGGTGAGGGTCAGACCCCGCAGGGCACCGTGGGCCGTGCGTGGCAGGCCTTTTCTCTCAGTGAAACAGCAAGGGGAGGTGGCTGAGTGCAGTTAGCTAATCTGCATCTATCCCCTCTCTTGGGATTGTGGGTTCTGCCTGCCAGGGTCAAACCCAGCTCTGCAACGTTAACATTATCGTCAACATTGTCACCCCTCTCACAGCAAGCCCTGGACGAAAACATGGACCTCTTGGAAGGTATAACTGGTTTTGAAGATTCTGTCCGGAAATGTAAGTCCCTCCCTGAGCCCGGGCTCCCCAGCAGGGAGAAGGTGGAGTGGCAGGGTTCTGGGCTCTTTACCATCTTTGTCCCTGACCTCCACAGTTATCTGCCATGTCGTGGGCATCACTTACCAGCACATCGATCGCTGGCTACTGGCTGAGATGCTCGGAGACCTGACAGGTAAGTCCCTTGCCAGGTCCCCCTTGCCAGTCTAATAGGTTGGGGTGGTCAGGGCAGTGGGCTTCAGCCAGCTCCTCCGATGGACGCACCCCAGCCTCACCCGCTCATTAGCAAAGGCCCAGCCCAGGGATGAAGTAAAGACTCTGTTTAAGACATCTCCTTCTTTGGGAGAGATCAATGACATTCATTCATTTGTTCTGCATAAATTATTGAATGTCTACTCTGCCAGACACTGTTCTTGGCCCCTGGGACATGGCAGTGAACAAACAAAATGGCTCAGATTTATTCTCACAGAGGTAGTATAACAGATAACAAATTAAGATGTACATGTCCAGTGACAAGTCTTTCAAGACAGCTTGTAGAGTGGGACAGGGCGTTGCTTCGGTGGAATGATGCGGGCAGCCCGAGGGCAGAACAAACGTGAGGATCCTGTGGCTGAAGCAGAGTGAATTGCGGGGAGCCAGGGCAGAGGGGTGCCGGTAGGAGTGAGATCTCCAGATAAAGCGGGGCCTCCTGAGGACTTTGACCTTTACCCCGAGTGAGATGGAGCCATAGAAGGGTTCTGAGCAGGGAGGGACGTGACCAATTTATGTTGTTGAAAGATCCTTCCAAAAAGAAAAAAAAATAGTGTGTGTATGTGTGTATAAAGTAGTTGCTCATTTTTGCAAAAATAAACAGGAAGGAAAATTTTTTGGAAACTAATGGGGCAGAAGTGAGGAGTGAGAACAGGCTGGAGAGGGGTAGGTTGAAGGTGAGATTCTCTGAGTACCTTAGTTTTGCCTTTGATCCAGGTAGTTTTTGTAGGATGTTTGTTTTTGGTTTTTTGTTTGTTTGATTTTTAGTGGAAGCTAACTTTTATTGGATACTTTGTGTCAGGCACTATACTAAGCATTTTATATCAGATAGGTGTTTTACTTACTTGAAAATGAAATTAGCCTTTTGGCCAGAACCTCCATCTTTCAGTAATTCATCAAAAATGGCCAACACAAAGAGAAAGAGGACAGGCCCCTGCTATGTGTTCTCCAGGCCTTTTAGAAAACATGGAGTTATTCCTTTGGCTATGAACATGCAAAGCTTCAAGAAAGGTAATATCGCAGACATCAAGGGAATGGGCACTGTTCAAAAAAGCACTCCCCACCGGTGTTACCATGGCAAAACTGGAGGAGTCTACAGTGTTACCCAGCATGCAGTTGGCATTCATGTAAACAAACAAGTTAAGGGCACGATTCTTGTCGAGAGAATTAATGTACGTATTGAGCATATGAAGCACTCTAAGAGCAGAGATGGCTTCCTGAAATGTGTGAAGGAAAATGATCAAAGAAAGAAGGGAGCCAAAGAGGAAGGTATCTGGGTTCAGCTGAAGCGCCAGCCTGCTCCACCCAGAAAAACACACTGTGAGAATGAATGGAAAGGAGCATGAGCTGCTGGAGCCCATTCCCCAGGAATTCATGTAAAAAAATAAAAGACCTCCAATTGAGTAGGTGTCCCCTCCCCCAAATAAATATTTAAAGAAACTGTCCTTAAAAAAAAAAGTGAAATTAAGTCAAAAGAAGATGAAACAACTCTTTGAAAATAAAAAGAAGCAGATGAATCTGTATCAAATTGGAGATAATTATACAGGAATTCTTTCAAGTAGCAGTAACACTGTCTGGTCCTACATCCCAAGTGGCATATTTTCTAAGAGCGAAAAAGAACTGCAAAGAAATTTCAAACCTGGCGCCATAGGCTTATTGTTAGTGGTAGTGTTGATATGGTTTTTAACCATTTCGTGTTTGTTGTGGGAGAAAGCAAATAAGTAAATATACTGCTGTTATTAGGAACCAATAGTTGCTCTGGGAGATAAAAGAGGTGAATATAGAATAAAAGCTGAAACAAAGCCCAGGTGATGGTAAGGGTCTGAAAGCGAAAAGGCTCCCCCTGGCGGCCATTTGGATAATGAACTATAACCGCGGGGCTGACCCAGGGACAGTCTGGCTGCTGCTGCTGCCCAGACAGAAGATATCGGTAGCTTCTGAAGCAGTTGGGCAAGGAGGGTGCCCTGGCCTTTGGCTCTCAGGCCCCCTGGGGCTGTGGGATCTGAGTAACTGAAGCTCCTGTGCTGCCTGTGTCACCTGCAGACAGCCAGCTAAAGGTGTGGATGAGCAAGTACGGCTGGAGTGCTGATGAGTCGGGCCAGATCTTCATCTGTAGCCAGGAAGAGAGCATTAAGCCCAAGAACATCGTGGAGAAGATTGACTTTGACAGTGAGTGGTGGCCCGAGGCCTCAGGCTGTGGGTCTAAGGGGAAGCCCTTCCACAGAGACCAGGGCTGGGGCTCCCCAGGACCTGGAGTGATTTGTTTTGGTTCAGGGCTGGGAAATCTGCATCTGCCAGACTCTGCTGACCTCTTCTGTCACAGGCCTGCCACCCAGGGAGGAATGACAAGGTGGTGCTTGGTGTCCTCCCCTGGGACTTCCAGGCCCTGTGTCATGCCCTGCTGCACTCAAGACTTCCCAGGGCCTGGAGGAGCCTTGTGACGTGTCCCCACACCCTTACTGGTCCCAGGGGCTCTATCTCGTTATCTGTCGTTTGTCCTCGGGGCTCCCGGGCCTCAGCCCTGGCGTCTGCTGAGATGCAGCAATCACCAGAAAGTGCAGTCTCCGGAGCCGAGTTGGCTGGTTGGGGATCTTGGTTCTCTGCTTTGTAGCTGCGTGACTTTGGGCAAGTGATTTCACTGCTCTGTGCTTTGGTTTTCTCATCTAAAAAGTGGGGAAGACAGTACCAATAATTATGAGGGATACTGTGACATCGTAGTTCCTTATACTTAAGTTGTTGGGTCCTCATATCACCCTTCAAGGTGGGTGTCATTAAAGGTTCACATTGGTACAGTGTGGTTTCTCAGTACAAACCAGTTAATGTGGTACTTCATTGAGGAACCAAATTGAGTGGACCGTCTTCTCCACACTTGGGGACCGTGGACTCTTGCTCTAAATGAAATGTGCCCATCGTGTTGGGGTTCTGCAGGGAGGAGATGCAGGCCCACCATTCAGTATCTTTCAAAAAGTGTGTTATGATAGCAATGAATAACACTCAGTACCAGGAATTGTTCTAATCATGTCGCTCAATCCTGTGCTCCTGTGGGTAGATGCTTTGTTCAGATGGGGAAGCTGATGTACCTGGTACATGGCAAAGCTGATATCTGAACCTAGACCTCCTTACCTCAGAGTCCAGTTCTTTAAGGACTTCTTCAAACTGCTTTTGTGATGGTGACTAAGGCCCAGAAGGGGGTTGTGATCTGCTGCTCACTAGTTTGGGTGCTGTGGTCGTTGGCTCTAGGTTCATCTCCCATTCTTCTCACATTGATGCTGGTCCCCCCTTCTCTTCTCAACAGGTGTGTCCAGCATCATGGCCTCCTCCCAGTAACTTTGCTGGCGTTTAATAAAGATTCGTTGACTTCTTAGCCTCGTCGTCTCCTCATTGGCTTCCTGCCCCTGCCCTTCGCCCACCAGAGGGCGCCCAGGAGCTGGCCATTTGCTGGAACCCCCAGTGGCAGGGCTTCTACCTCCTTTTTTCCCTTCCAATGCGGTCAGCTGGCTCTTAACCACATGAGGACTATGTATGACATCACACTCCTTCCACTGAGTTGTACATACAGTCCCCGAATTATGATTTTCAACTTTACAGTTTTGCGAAAGCAATACTCAGTAGAAACCATGCTTCCAGTTTTGAACTTTGTTCTTTTCCTGGACTGGCAATATGTGGTACAAAACTCTCATGATGCTGGGCAGTGTCAGCCATAGGCTAATATACGTGTTCTGAGCAGTTTAAGGTCAGCCAGCTGAGCTATGATGTTCAGGTGGTTAGGCGTATTAAATGCCTTTTCAACTTAATGGTATTTTGAACTTTATCAGGATGTAACTCCATCGTATGCAGAGGCGCATATGTACAAGAAAGCCTTGCTCGCAGCTTGACTTCCTCCCCGGCTGGGCCTCAGCAGCGGACCTTCCACCCCCCCACTTCCTGACCTGTCCTGTCATCAGTGTAGGTCAGGTGTCCGTGAGTGAGTCAGTAAGAAGGAGGAGACGTGAATGAGACAGGAGCCCAGCCCTGCAGCTGGCCCTAGCCTGGGCTTTTCTGCCTTTGTGAAACAGCCTGAGGTTCCTGGTGGGGGGAGGCACACCTGTGCCCTTGGGCCTCGCAGGTACAGGCACTAGTGGCCCAGGGCAGTGGCTGAAAGGGTGAATGGGGGAGGATTCTGGCCGCAGCCAATCCTGGATGCTGCTCAACCCGTTGTGTGTCCTTGGTTATGAGGATTTCATGACCTTTGCCAGTAAAGGTCTCAAACAAGGTCCTTGCCTGTTAGTGCATAGAAAACAGGAGTCATTGTTAATTTCAGACTCAGAAGAGTTTGTCCCCAAGGTTGCAAACTAGTCCCCAGCGTTCTTATTCAGAGAGACTTCACAAGAAAATTTGGATTTTCAGCCAGGCCATGTACCCCAGCCCCCATCTCCTGCTTCTGTCTGCTAGAGGCCTAGCTCGTGTCACTGATCCTTAACTGGCTTTATCTTTCCCATTTTACACACAGGTATTCCAGGCATTCTGGCAGAGTGACCTTAGGCTAGTGCCTTTATGCCTATTTATCTAGAGGAAGCGGGTGGGGACAGCAGGAACTACCTTTGCGGAAAGATGGAGGAAATGAAATTCCAAGGTAGATGTAGTCCTTAGTGTGGGCTGGCAGCTGCCTGTAAGGGAGCTCTTCATTCTTCTATGACTGAACTTTGCCTACAGAGAGGGGGCAGTGGCAGTGCCCAAGCTGACAGCCCTGCCGACCCTGCCTGATCCACCTGCGCTCACACCCATCCATTGGGCAGGGACTTGGGAAGCCAGGGCAGGGCAGGACACCCTTTGCCCTGGGTTCCAAACCTGGAGCAGGAGCCAGGAACTAGGGTGTGTCCAAATCCTGGGGACAAAGTGTACTTCTGCAGCTCAGGCCTGGGAGCCAGCTCTTGGGGACAGCAGGAGGGAGACGGATGCTGCTATCCTATTTGCATGGTTATCAAAAGGCCCCCCTCGGGGTGGGCACAGTTCCCACTCACTCACTTGGCAGGTGCCCTTGTGTAGGACACAACCTGCACAACTGGCCGTGGCCCCAGCGGGGAAGAGGAAATGACTGTCTCCTTTGGAAGCCACATCCTGTCCCTCTCTGCCAACCTGCGTTTGCTCCAAGAGGATCGTCCTTTGAGCAGCAAAGAGGCCAGGCTCTGGTGGAGGACTGCCTGAGATCAGGCCCCAGCCTAGTGGCCTTTGGGCTTGTTAACCCCACGCCTCGCCTCAGTCTTCCAGCTGCAGGAGTGCTCACTTTGGTAGCTGCCATGAGTTAATGACCAGAGCACCTTGGCACGCAGCAAGAGGTCTTGAACTTGTCACCTGTCTTGCTTGCTCAGGTTCAGGGCTGCTATTTCAGCTGCTTCCTAGTCACTTCAAGACATCCCAGTATCTGTTCAGGTTCCCACCCTGGGAGGACACGGCCGCCTTTGTTTTGCTTAAGTAGCATACATAATGGGACACAGCCCTTAATCAGTTCTGACTGCCTTCCGGAGAATTCCGAGAAGTGGTGAGGAATTGGTGAACCTAAAACTAGGGCCCATCGGCCATACCCCTTCTCTCAGCGCCCCTTCCAGTCTCTTCCTGCCCCTCTGAGCCTCTGCCCTGTTGACCCTTGACCCTCAACAGACAGCAGCTGCTACTACTGAGCGGGCTGTGGATGGCTGCAGGGAAATGACCTCAGCTGACTAAGGGAGTCCTTAGTTTAAACATTGCCCTGTCTCTGTTGTGCCCTAGGTCTGGGAGGTTTCTCAGTGATCACAGCGAGAGGCAGGGAGGAGCAGATGGCCCATCGCCCGAGGGCCTTTCCCTGCTGACCAGGCCCAGCATAGGAGTCCTGGGCTTGTTCACCAAGTCAGGCAGGAAGAGGCTGCCTGCCCCAGCCCAGCCCAGCCAGCCTTAGCGACTGCCAACACTCCCAGGTCTTTGGCCAGGCCCCAGCATCTCCTGGGAAAATGGGCTGCTACCCGGGCCTTGTCCCCTTCCTTTGCTTCCCATTGGATCTCTTCTAGTGTCTTTGAGAAAGCTGGGGAGAGATCCTCGCAGCTCCCGTACCTGAAGGAGCCGTGTTTTCTAATCCTCACCCCAGTTACCTGTGACACAATCCCCTTTCATGCTGTCAGCCAGTTCCTGCTCTGGTCCAGCTCAAACCCTCACTTTCTTACCTTCCCTGACAACCATTCCCTTCAAGACCTTCCCTGAATTCAATAAAGATTTTTACACTCCTCTGTTGCCTAGGTCCAAAACCTAGGAGCCATCCTGCATCTCGATTCTTCTCTCTCGTTCCTGCATTCACCCACCCTTAATCAAATTCATAGCAGTAAGTGATGTCAGCTCCAGTTCCCCTAATCCTCTCACTGCCCCTGTGCCACGGCTCTCTGCTCCAAGATCCTGGTCTTGTCCACCCGCGTCTTGACAATTGTAGCAGCTTCCTCACTGGTCTTGTGATCACTCCACCTTCTACAGCCTTTTTCCCTTGTGTGGCCGGGGCACCCTGTGAACAGCTGAATCAGATCTTAGCCCTGCTTAAAATCCTCCCTTAACTTCCCATTACCTTTAGAATAAAATCCATTGGATGTCAATCTTATTTCAATAAAAAAAATTTCAAATTTCTCACCATGGTTTTAAGTCCATTCATTCATTCACTTAGGGTTTATTAAATTTCTTTCTTGAGCCAGACATTGCTTCAAGGACTAGGGAGGGATACAGCAATGACCAAAACAACGAGCCCCACTCTCACAGGTTGACATTCTTGGGAGGGAGACATAAATATAATAATCATGTAGTAAGTTCAATGATGATCAACAGTCTGGAAAAGGTGAAGCGTGGCAAGTGTGGGATGCTATTTTAAATAAAGTAGTGAGGGAAAGTCTCCCTGAGGAGGTGATGTTACTGCAGATACGGGCAGGAGAGGAGGTGGAGAACCCTAGGGATCGAATATCTGGGGAAAGTGATCCAGGCAGTGGTAACAAGGTGTCACTACGTACAAAGGCTCTGAAGCTGGAGCATGCCCGGCGTGTTCCAGAAAGAGCAAGGAGGTCTGCAGTGTGTCCTGGCGGGAGCTCAGCCAGGGGCAGAGTAGGAGGTGAGCTGGGAGGGGAAATGGGGACCAAGACAACCAGGACATAGAAGACCTTCTGTGTCTGACTGATGCCACAAGAGTCTCAGTTGTTTCAAAAGCTGGGCTGGGCTGGGCCAGGGGAGACTACAGCCTTTCCTCTTAATCTTGACTTGCATTCTGAGTGTGATGCGATGGGAGAGTTCTAGGCAGAGGAGGCAGAGACCTGATCTTACTCAGGTGTTTACAGGCTCCCTCTGGTCTCTTGTGGGAAAGAGGCTGGGGGAGCAGGGAGCAATGAGGAGGCTGTTGCAGTGGTCCAAGCTAAGACAAGGTTGAGGGTGGATGGGACCAGGGTGGAGCCATGGGGACAGGGGAAAGTGGGTGGATTCTGGATATACTTTGAAGATGGAACTAACAGTTTCCTGAAGAATTGGCTGTGGGCTGTGAAGACAGAGGAGTTGAGAACGATGCAGCTGGAAGCGTGGGAGCAGTCGCTGAGATGGGGATGACTGGGGTTTGATCTGGGATTTTTGGGGGGGTGACCATCAGGAGCTCAGCTGTAGATATTTAAATTTGAGGTGCCTGTTAATGTAGCAATGTCATTTGTTTGCTTATTTATCGTCCCCCCCGTATTAGCCACTTAAGAACTAATCACACGTATCACTCAGCATTGTATCCTCAGCACCCAAAAACAGTTCCTAGCACACAATATGTACTCAGTGAACGTTTGTTGAATGAATAAAGATAAACAAGTCCAAAAAAATCCCCTACCTTCCCACTCAGCCAATATTTATTCCAATTTTCCTAACCCCCATGTCCGTTTGGTATATATTTCAGGTCCTTGTTCAAATGTCCTCCTCCGCGAAGCCTATTCTATTTTATTTATGCTTCAGCTCATGCTTGATTTTTCTCCATAACATTAATCATCTTAGAATATACCATATATATGTCTTAAAATTTTGTTATCTCTCTTCACTAGAAAGTAGTTCCACGAAGTCAGGGATTTTTGTCTACCTTGTTTAGTGTCAATGTGTAAAACATGGCCTGGCACACAGTAGGTGTTTAATAGTTGTTGAATTCGTGTTGCAGAGCGGGACTACATTCCACCCCTAAGCGGGTTAAGGCCTGGAGGCGAGACGCGCCTTATGAATCATTCATGACCTGGCCCCGCCCACACGCGGAGAACGGGCGCGCTCACGCGGGCGAGGGGGCGTGGCTCGTACTAGAGCTCAGGGGTATAGGGGAGTGGACTCTGCGCAGGCGCCGAGCTTCCCCAGGGCGGCGTGTCTCAGCGCCTTTCTGGTTTGAAGGCGCCTGCGCGCGGGGCGGCGGCGG